ATAATGTTGGGATTCAAAAGAGACCCTACGTGGGGAGTCGGATCACGGGTTAAAAGACCACTTGTTCTTGCATAGGACCCAGATTCAACCCAGCACCAACCATCTGCCAATGAAGTCCAGGCAATCCAACGCCCTCTTCTGACCTTCACAGGCACCAACCAGACATGTGGTGCACAGACAGACATGTAGGGAAAACACTCACTCACATAACAAAAAATATGTCCCACTGCTCTCAAGACGCAGAGTTGTGTATGCTGTATAAACTGGACATGCAGGACCCACAAAAATAGGACTGCTAAAGTTGTCTAAAAAAGGCGAGACGGTCCTTCAGGGTTCCTGCTTCATGGAAGAGTCTGACAGACATTCTACAGGACGCAGAAAAAAGCAACTGATGGACTCTGCCATTACAGGGAAAAACAGATCTTCAAATTTCCTGCTTAGTGGAAAACTCTGCTGGATATTATGGGCCAGGAGGCTAAAGACAAATGCCCACAGCGTTACAGAAAAACTCTGGGTGACTGTCCAGGCTGCGAGACGTCTCTGTCAGTTCTAGAGTTTTGGAAGTTGCTTACAATGCACTTCCTGTTTGCTTAGGTAATATTATATCCTTCTGGGGTCTTTGATAAAGTTAAAAAATAGACAGTTATAATTATAGTTTTCCTTAGTTATAATAAAAGATAAAGTAGATATAAATATTGTAGATGTAATTCTTCCTTGATACCTGTTTTGTCATATGTAATCTTGCTACGTTAAAGTTAAAACCATCCTTTTTATTTAGACAGAAAAGGAGAGGTGATGTGGGAAATGATCTATACTGTGAATATGGTTTATTGCCACTGGTTAATAAAGAAGCAGCTTTCAGCCAACAGAGTAAAGCCAGGTTAAAAGAGATATAGAGAGAGAGTAGGCGGGGTCAGACAGAGGCCATGTAGCCACCGCCCAGAGGAGACAGCTGGCCAGAAACGTTACCCTACTGCCATGTGGCGACACACAGATTAATAAAAATGGGTTAACTCAAGATGTAAGAGCTACCTAGGGATAAGCTAAAACTATTGGCCAAACAGTATTGTAAATAATATAGTGTCTGCGTGATTATTTTGGGGCAGCCTCTGGCAATAGCCCTCTACCCACCACACAAGCAATACACTCCTCAATTGCTTTTCAAATTGGGTCTGTCATGAGCTCTAGGGACCAGCTTCTCTGTGCACACCAGAGCTGGGATTACAGACACACACTAGCACACAGGTTTTTATGTGAGTTCCAGGATTCTCATACCCAGTTCTTCATGTAAACATATAAACAACACAGCCATCTCCCTAATTCCCAGAATTGTCTCCTTTTTCATAGATTTATTTTTGTGTGTGTGTGTGTGTGTGTGTGTGTGTGAGAGAGAGAGAGAGAGAGAGAAATAGAGACAAAGAGAGAGAAATATGGGGGTGCAGGTGAGGGTGTTGGATCTTCTGAAGCTACATTCACAGTGACTGTCCTGGGAACTGAACTTGGATCCTCTGGAAAAGCAGCAGGTATTCATAAATGCTGAGTCATTTTTCCAGCGTCTCCACACATCCAACATATCTTTAAAAGACAGATGTATCTGCCCTTTGGAATCACCCACTCCAGTCTCTCTATGGAGTATATACTGTGCTGGGCTAAACAAACCCCAGCTTCAAATGAAAAATAACCCAAAACCAAGAGACAGGTCATAGAAGAAGTCTCTACAGTCAGTGTTCAAATGACAACTTGCAACAACAGCTCAGGAACAGCGCGGGAAAACCAAGCATTTAGCGCCATGTGGGTAATCAAGAGAGCACACCACTCAAACTTTCCTGGCACTGTGCTGCTTGCTGGCTCTGAAACAGGCAGACCCCTCTGCTGAAGAGAAAATCCGTAAGAGCAAAGAACAGCGCTTACTAAAGAATTTCACCAAGCTACTCACTCAAAACTCGTTACTCACAGTTTCAAACAGCTCTTCCATCAGCCCGTTGACTTCTTTTTCTGTGAAAGGACAAAGAAGTATGTTAGCAGAACTTAGTCTTATTCTGTAGTAAGGAAAACCTCCGGGGTGATACCGTATGCCGTTTCTCCCAAGGCGCCAGACCGAATGCTCACATTCATCCTTTAAGCAGCATCTCAAAGGCAGCTATGAAACTCCAACCTGCTTCACTTCCTCTTCAAGATGCTTGAGATACACCTATCTCTTTCTATCCCCTTAGTAAGCTCGTGGCTGCAAAGCGGCGACCACACCCACATTCTTTTTGGCATTCAAAGTATAATACAACCCTTGCCAAATAGCAAATGCCAAACACAGGACTACAGCATCTACAATAGCAACTTTCTGTATATGCATTACATTTAAACACTTACAGAAATAAACAAATGAAAATCCACTGTCTACATCTGAATGAGCCATAGACTTCCAATACACCTACAGAGTAAACAAAGACATGTGAAAAAGACAATAACGAACAAACCGACTTACTAGTGATTCTCACTGCCCGGTCAGTGCGGAAATCCTCTGTGTCTGGTTCATCAAGGTCTTCCAGGAAGTTATATTCTGGATCATCGTCATCATCTGCCTCATCTGGAGGGTGGGGGGAATACATTAGACACTTTCTCTTTTCTTGTCTTTCCTTTAAGTTTCTCAAGACAGGGTTGTCGCTGTGTAACTGCTGTGGCTGTCCTAGGACTCGCTCTGTAGCCCAGGCTGGCCTCAAGCTCATGGAGCTCCACCTGCCTCTGCCTCCGGAGAACTGGGATCAAAGGAATGCCCCAGCACAAACTCTGCCTACTTTTTTTCTCAGGCAAGGTCTCTATGTCTGTCTCTCTCTCTGTGAATGTGTGTGTTTGCGTGTCTATATTTCTTGTTCTCTCTACCTTTGGTTTTTCGAGACAGGGCTTCTCTGTGGCTTTGGAGTCTGTCCTGGAACTAGTTCTTGTAGACCAGGTTGGCCTCGAACTCACAGAGATCCGCCTGCCTCTGCCTCCCAAGGGCTGAGATTAAGGGCCCGGGCCACCACCACCCAGCTTCCTTTTGTTTTCTTTGAGACTATGTATCCCTAGTTGACCTACGACTCACTAAGTAGACCAGGTTAACCTTGAACCCACAGATCTGCCTGCTTCTGCTTCCTAAATTAGGGGATTATGGGCAAGGACCACTATACCACCATGCCCAGAACTCAACCTTGACCCTAAAGATCTAGAAAGAGAAGAATTGCAGAGTCTTTCCATGCAGTACATACATTATTTATTTTATTAATTTATTTGTGTATATGTAGGTGTGGAAGCCTTGGCATTTATGAAACTTGAAAGAGAATGGCCAACCTGCCTCACAGATCTGAATGTTCGGTTCCCACTTGGTGCAACTCTTTCTGAGAAAGTTTAGGGGCTGTGGCCTCACTGTAGCCAGTGTGTCACTTAAAGGGTGGGCTTTAAGGTTTCGAAAGCTACCCCAGGCCCAATCTTCTGCCTTCAATTTTCACGTTAGATATTAGCTCTCAGATATTAATCCTGTGCAGTACCTGCCATGATGGCCACAGACTCACCATCTACAACTGTCAAACCAAAGCCCGATTAAAGGCTTTCTTTTCTAAGTTGCCTTGGTCATGGTCTTCTCAGAGCAATAGAACAGTGACTCTGACAGCATGCACGTGGGGCTCAGAGAACAACTGGTAGAAGATGGTTCTCTCCTACCACCACAGGAGTCCTAGATAGAACCGGGGTGTTTGGGCTTGGCAGTGATCATCTTTACACAGGGCCATCTCAATGACCTTTGCTTTTTTCCCTTCTTTTCTTTGAGACATGATCATATTAAGTTACCCAAGCCAACCTAGAAGTTACTACGTAGCCCTGGCTAGATCCATGATTAGGATCCTCTTTAGATTACAGGCCTGTGTCACAAACGCCCCACCGCCCCTGACGTTTAGGCGTCATTCCCCAATACTTAGCAAGTGTCACTTTCCACAGCTGACTTGTTCTCGCGCCTGCTCCCTCCTCTGAGCTAGGCTCCCGCTCCTCCAAACAACATTCAATGTCCACATGCGTCCAACAGGTAAGTCTCCCGTATGACCCACTTCAGTCTCAAAGAAATGATACTTCCCTTCTGTTTCTCAACTATTTTTTATTATGTGAATGTATGTGTATGTGTGGGGTGCCAAGTGCGAACTACGTACATATTCTCCCACTGAGCTGTTGAATCTCAGCCTCCACAATCTCTTTCTTTTGTTTGAGACAAGTGTCGCTATGTCCCCAGGCTAGCCTCATGTCTTACAGCACCTTCCTGTCTCAACTTCCCCAACAGCTGAAGCAGAAGTCTGAGCCAGCACGCCTAGCAACAAACCCTATTAGTGCTCCCAGTCTGTAACGCGGTTTCTACCCCAACTGAGCAGCTGATAACTGCAAACAAAACCACTCACCCTCGTTCTCCACATCATCATTTAAGAGGCCCCCCAGCCACACCTTCCAGTCCTCATCATCAGCTGTATTTGGGTCATACATATCCGGGGTGATATCTGGAGCCTCAAGTTCAGCTTCGAGTTGGCCCAGAGGAACATCTTTCAGGGGCATCTTAGACCGAGTCCGGAATGCGATGAGACTATCCTCCATCGGCTGGCCAAAGCAGAAAGAAAAAGCATCCAGTAAGTCAAAGTCATGCTTCCAAATTCTCCACACTCCACAGCAAACACTACTTTAAAATCTACTTGTCTCAAGACACTGTAGGTCACTGTCATAGCTGTGTACAGTGACCCACACTCTTAATTACAGCACTTGGGAGGCAGAGACAGGCAGATCTCTGTGTGTTCAAAGCCAAGCTAATCAACATAATGAGATCCAGGACAGCCGACTCTGTATAGTGAGACCCTGCCTCAATAAACAAAAAGAAGCAAACAAAATCCATAACAAATCTGGATTTTCTTTCTTCAAAATCTAGTTTAATTTCTTGTAGATTTTATTTTTTCAAATAATTTTTTTATTTTTTTTATTAAGCATTTAAGTTTCCCTACAGAGGAGAGTGTTAACAGTGTCCCACTAGTACAAATTATGCAGTCAGCTTTCCCGACTTAAGGGAATCTCAGGGTCAGCACTTCAGGTACACAATAATGAGCTGTGCCCCGAAGAAACAACCTGTGTGATTGTGGTTTCTTCCCTGCCCGGTAAGTATGTTTTTTTTTGGTTTTGTTTTCTTTTGTTTTTTTCTTAGGGACTGGAAATAAGGAACAGGGGCTAAGAGCACTGGCTGCTCATAACCATCTACAGTGAGATCTGATGCCCTCTTCTGGCCTGCAGGTGCACTTGCAGATAGAACACTCATATATATGTAACACAAATTTTTTAAAAAATTTATTTTTCATTTTATGAATGTGTGTGTGCTTATATGTTACCTGTTATATGTGCACCACATGTGTGCAATGCCCACAGAAAACGGAGCTGTATATTCTACAACTGAAGTTACAGATGGTTTAAGACACAACTTGGGTCTCGGGAACCAAACAGGTTCTGTATGCATCACCACCATAACTGCTGAGCCTTATACCCAATCCAGTTATCGGTTTTAAAATGAATATTTCAAGAACAGTTATAAAAGTTTTAAAATATATGTATATATTTTATAATACATTCACATTTTTAATGGGTATAATTAATTAGGTATTAATATATTCACAAAATTATGTGATATAACCAATTCCACAATAACTTCATTATCCACATAAGAGATCCAATAATCTATATTCCGTGGATATGGATTTCCTACTTAGTGGACATTTTAGACAAGGGCACTGTACAGTGTCCATTCAGGACTGTTTCAGGTGCTCACTTTACACAATGTGTGCAGAGTTTTCCTTGCAGTTCCCCAGCACCTGTCAGCACTTCTTTTTACTGACCAGTAGCAATCAGCCTTATGGACATACCATAATTTCTTTTCTCAGCAATTCAGAGTCATGATGCTTACCTGAAAAGAATCCATGCAGACAGGACTAGATGCCAGCTCCTCATCCACTGCATTTAACTTCTCTATGAAAGCACTATCCCTGGTCTGCTTTGGTTTTGGAGGAGGTGGGGGCCCCATGGGCACTACTTCAGCACTGATGTGCCTAAGAGCAGGTGTGGTGACTTTCTCAACCTGATCAAAAAGGATGCTGTGTTAGGATGGATATAAGGAAGGAAGGAAGGAAGGAAGGAAGGAAGGAAGGAAGGAAGGAAGGAAAGAAGGAAGGCAGGCAGGCAGGCAGGCAGGCAGGAAGGAAGGAAGGAAGGAAGGAAGGAAGGAAGGAAGGAAGACAGGAAGGCTTCACATGCAGTTAATGTCGCCTCATTCCTCTTTTGTAGATGAACACAGGTGAACGGCCAATTCAACACATGCTCTGACTAGTTAGGTCTCATCCTATCTCAGTGAGAGAGACGGAGAACTACTTGGCTTTAAAGACAGTACTCTAAGCAAGGGTTGCAAACACTTGACCCTTAATGAGAACTCAGAAAACCTCTGTGACCAAGACTAGGTCTCAGTCATCTCTTAGCTGTTCATTCTCCCGAGAACTCTGAAAAGGTGGCACCCACAGTTATATCACCACTGGTAGATCAGCCACTTCTCACATGTAACGTCTAAGGTCTCTCTTGTCTGCCGCCGGATTACCTCTGACAACATGCCACTCTCCTCATCTGTCTCAGCCACTTCAGATGACGCCTGCAGTCTGGATCTCTTCACTCCACGTGGAGACGAAGCAGTGCTTTCAACATCACTTTCCAATAAGCTCTAAAACAAACCCAGTGCACGCTCACGTGTGTGCCCCAACCTCAGTGCGCAGCACGAAATGCCACAACAGAATGAATCACAAAATACCAGTCACTGGGATCTGGGCTGCCAGGATGGCTCAGCAGATAACTAGGTGTACACGACCAAGCCTGATGACCTGACTCCGACGCCCAAGATCCATATGGAGGGAGGCAAGAATCAACTCTTACCAGGATGTCCTGGGATCTCCACAAGCAAACTGTGGTATGCACACACAAACACCCACCCCAACAGATATATACAAGAGCAAATATATGACATGTAAATAATTGTCAAAGAAAGAATACATGCAGTATATGCAATAATTACATACATCATAGAAAGAAAATGAATTTTCAATGACTTAACATCCTAAAGAGGGAAAGATGGAAGGACCATATCTGCAGCCTCATCTTCATCATAAACTGTCAAAGGTTAAAGGATGAATAAAACACAGAAGGAAAAAAGAAGACCTCTTTTGAAAAGCGTTACTAACCAAGCAATGGTGCCAAACACCTTTATCCCCAACACTCGGGTGGCAGAAGCAGGAGGATCTCTAAGGAGTTTGAAGTTAGCCTAATCTACCTAGGGAATTCCAGGAAAGCCAGGGCTACATACTGAGACCTTTTCTCAAAAACTCAAATAAAATAGAAAAGATAAAGTTCATAAACAAGAAAAATTAAACAAGACTATATAGAGGTGTATATTTAGATGACAAAACTACAAAGAAAAACAGCAAAAAACTATCAAGAAATCAGGGTTACAGGATACACTTGTCTGTTGATATCTTTGTTTTTTTTTCCAGTTTTTCGAGACATGGTTTTGCTGTGTTAACAGCCCTGGCTGTCATGGAACTTCTCTGGAAACCAGGCTAAAAATTGAAGTCACAGAGATTCACCTGCCTCTGCCTTCTGAGTGCTGAAATTAAAGGCATGAGACTTGGCATCTGTTGGTTTCTAATAAAGAGTCTAGAACAAGCTGTGTAGCTGAGGATAAACCTGAACTCCTATTCCTCCTACCTGCGTTTCCTAAGTGCTGAGATTACAGCATATCCTTATGTTGTGTTACTTTTATAATGTAAGCTTAAATGTATAGGGAGTTTGAAGAGCAGAATACCTACCAGCTAAGAAATCATTAGAAAAGAGAACATTTCTCAATCATGTCTAAAGAATATGGCAATACTAAGTCACCAAAGCCCATCTTTATCAAGCCCAAATTTTTTCTGCAGTAACAATGAACACTCACGAACCTCTTCTGCCGTCTCATCTTCCTCTTCCTCATCTGGCTGGTACTCTTCATCTGAGGAGTCATCTTCTTCAAGGTGAATATCCACAAACTGTGGAGGCTGCTTCAATAGGAACACAGGAAAACAGGGGAGCTGGGTGACTCAGCAGCTAGAGGCACAAGCCCAATGACCAAATTCAATCCTCAGGACCAGTATGGTAAAGGGAGAGGACCAAATCTCACATGCTATGATAGTTGCTCCCACCACTCATCATGCAAAGCAAATAAGTAAACATAAAATAAAACAGAGAAAGAAATGGAACAGGGCTGGAGACTAGAAATCTCAGAGGAGAACGCATGCTCACTATGCACAGGGTTCTGGGCTCCAACAGCAGCAGAGGACAGATGGAATGAAGGGAAAGAAGAGAGGGAGGGAGGGAAGAGGGACGGAAGGAAGGAGGGAGGGAGCAAGGGAAAGCACAAGTCACACATTTGGAAAAGAAAGTGAAGATAACGGGGGAGGAAAAAAGAATTCTGTGAGTCTAATGTGAAGTCACATCAAACAACACAGGCAGGTTTGTATGGTTCCATGAGGTGCAAGCTGAGGTATAATGGAATGGAAAAACCCAAACCTGTAATAAAAAAAAAAGAAGCCCCCCCAAACAAAAACAAAACCCCCAGCATGTCTAAAAGTAGTGAATACGAAGGAAGTAGTAGCTTTCAAAACTGATGACGTATTTTGGGAAAAGAGTAACAATGACTTCTACGTTTACCTTAATTTCACTGGCTTTCTTAATTGGTGAAATATTCCAAGTTGGAATTACCTATCAAAAAGAATGTCAGTAATAACATGTAACTGCTTTTCCTTTTACTGATAGCCAGAAAGACCCACACTTAACTGAGCAGCTACAGTGGGTCTACAGGCGTCACTGAGCATTATAGTCTCATGTATTTGTGGGGCTTATGATCCCAGCACCTGGCAGAACTGAGAGAGGGAGAGTGCCAAAAGCTCAGAGGAGCCTGGGTTACACAGTAAAGTCCAGGTCAGTTTGGGTCATAGTGTGTGACCCTGCCTCAACCAAGCCACCACCACCACCAGTAACAATTACGTTATACAGAAAATTAAAAACAAAGCAGTAACCTAGGATGTAACTTGCTTGCCCTTGATTCATGCCAGGGCACAGCATGAAAATCTGGGCAGTGTGGCTCCCACTAGTAAGCCCACGTATATTAGGTAAGCATTCTCACACTGAGCTAGGAGTCCCAGCCCACACATAATGATTTCAAAAGGCACCCCAGACCAAAATTGTTCACATTTTTTTCTCTATGAATAACCAAGAACAGGCTTCTATTTCCCAGGATAAAGAGAAACTCAGAACACATACCACTCCTTTCTCCACCACTTCCTTCAGTTTAGAGCGTGTCATCTTAGGCTCCTAAGAAGGGAGAGAGAGAGACAGAGAGACAGAGAGGAAGAAAGTAGCCAATAAAAGTTACAATGTGATTTTCCCGGTCTGAGGTGTGTCATGTTTACAAACTGCTATATGACTTCCCACACTGGAAAGTTTCCATGGCATGGAAAGAGCGACAAAAGGTTACTCACAAACAGTGGCATGTCTTCTGTCTCACTGATGGCAGCTTTCATCATGGCTACAACATGTTCATTTGTGATTACTTCCTGGAGGAGAGAAAGAAGCCTCACTTTATGCTAAGAGATTTGTCACCTGAACAATATTCGTCTCTATGTAAGTGCCATTAGACCTTTGTGGAGAAGAAACAGAAGTTAGATCCTCAAATAGCTACAAACTGAACTCAAGAAAACATCTACAAATCGCAAATCGGGCGGTGGTGGCGCACACCTTTAATCCCAGCACTTGGGAGGCAGAGGTGGGCAGATCTCTGTGAGTTCATGACCAGCCTGGTCTACAAGAAGTAGTTCCAGAACAGGCTCCAAAGCTACAGTGAAATCCTGTCTTGAAAAACAGAAAAAAGAAAGAAAGAGAAAAAAAAAAAAAAAAGAAAACATCTAAAGATAAAGAAGGCAGAAGTAAGCCTTTAAACAATGTTGCAGCAAGTGGTTCCATCCATTACCTCCTCCTGGGACAAAAATATGCAGACACAGGTAAGGCATAGAGAATTACATATCAAAGGCATTATTGTTTTTTAAT